AATGTGTAATGATTGAACTGAAATCCGAATATATTCCAAAAATGTGTAATGATTGAACTGAAATCCGAATATATTCCATGAATGTGTAATTAAACATTTAAATGTCATAACTAGTGTTAAATTTAGTTTAATGGGACTTCAGTAATATTGAAACACACTTCTGATATTGAGTTTCCTTGTTTTGCTTATTAGATGATTCTTTACATACATTAAGCTGAATATTTGCTGTACAGAAAGTGGAACCATCTAATTTAGCTTTTCTTCCATTCTGTGTAGATGACATTAGGATAAAGCAGTCAGCAATGCTGTTAACCATTCTTTTCAGCACAGGAGAAAGACCACCCAATGATATCTATGGTAAGATCATTTTTTAGGTCTTTGTTGTGGTTACATCTAATTGGCAAATATCAAACATGTATCCACTATTAGTTATCACATGTAACATGACACTACACAAAAGAAACTTACATAGTTAGTTTCTAAGACAATAAATAGAGAGACGTTTTGAATTAAAAGTGAAATGTTTAAGATATGACATTATTGTACCTGGAAAGACCAAAATAATCTACGAAGGAAAGAAAAAGTAAAGTAAAATAATGCCTGACAAATATTTGAGTGCAATATAAACAAGCAAAGTAAAAAAAGATGGTACGGTCAGGTAGGCTTAGTGCAAGAGGAAGAACTATTAATATGATAAGGTAAAGCTTTTTAAACTTAAACTATAAACAAAGTTTACTGAAAACAAATGTGTGCCCCCCAGTTGCACAGTGGTATGTCTGCGGACTTACAACGCTAGAAACCGGGTTTCGATACCCATCGTGGGCAGATCACAGATAGCCCATTTTGTAGCTTTGTGCTTTACTTCAAAAACAAACGTGTAGAGAAAAAAAATAGAAAAAACAAAGAGAAGTAGAAAAATTGTACCAGATTACCAGAAAAAAGATTGTGCAAGAGTATTACAAATTTAACTTTTTGTCAACAACTTTTACTAATTTGATTTTGATGGTAGAAATCCAATCATGTTCTACAGAAATGTCAGTTTCTTATTTTAAATCTGAAGATTGAAGGTTTTTTTTTGTCATTTTTATGACTGTATTTTGTTAATTCAAAAGTGAATCCAGGTATGTTTTTAGTAGCCTTGATTCTATTGAGCACAAAATTTTGTGCTGTGTTAACGCAGGTGTACTTTTTTTTTAATAAGTTGAAATTCTTCTGCACAATATAAATTTCATAGAATCCAATAATATGCTGATATATTTTGTTCACTAAAGTTTTGATAA